AAAATACTACATGAAAGAGTGCAGTTGCTAAGACTTTGTTGAGACCCAAAAAAGGTCTCAAGGGACAGTTACTTCCTTGGTAAATCATGGCTCTTTTATAGATTTTAAATGTCTTAAATATTTTTATCTACTCTATTACATGATTTTTCTTCAGAAGAAAGGGATGTGAGCCGTACTTCTGACTCTGGGTGGAGACATGGCATTCTAAACTTCACAGAAGGTTATAAGATTGAAAATACCTACTGTTAATGTAAAAGTTAATCCAGTTGGTCTGTTAATCACATGGACAGGATACTACTCATCAGGAAAGGTGATATACTCAAACATATATTTGAAGGGAGGAATAACTATCCCCTGACATGTGTACTTACACACCTCAAAGGCCCCTCCCTTGATGCAACTGCTTACAAATCCTCCCTGCTAAGCCTGCTTGCTTTTTGAGTTCTACGTATAAAAATTCTCATTCCCTCTGAGCCTCCTAACCCCATGCCACTGTTCACAGACATATCTCTAACTCAAAAAGCATGGTTTTCCCTCTTTCTCTTCTCCATCTCCCTCCTAGAAACTGCTGACATTTCAAACCCCAAGAAATTGTCCCAGGACTTCTTTCTGAGTCTGTTTTTAAATTCTTTTAGTCTATGAGACTAAAAACTAACAAATTAGGGTCGATGTTCCCTAGTAAGAACATAGTTAGCCTGTTATTTTTCAGACTTCCAAAATATTAAAGTTTATGTGCCATAATAAATTATATTTGGGGAATTTTATAACATTTTGTACTTTTATTAGCATTCTCGAAACAAAACTAACTTTACCTGTGGAAACAAAGCAAGCCAGCAGAAAAAATGGCTAATGACTCAAAGAAGGGCTCTGGCTTCACCTTAATTATTTTAACATATCCAGTTCTGCGTCAGATGTTTCAGAATGGATCTTTCTGCCACATTATTTAGTGAATTAGACACTGAGTTCTTCAGCCCGAATGGGAGACTAGTCAAGTGATGCTATAACATTTCTCTTTGTCTAAATATTAGAAAAGGTATTAAAATATCTTGGTGGAGCACATACTTAACATGTGCAAGAACCTTCATTCAATCTTAGGCTCAAATACACACATGCACACACACACACACACACACACACACACACACACACACTTTATTTGGCTTAGATTTGTCATCCTCTACCTCTACACTACAGTTGAATTGTTGCTTTTTATTGTATATTATTGCCCATATACATCTAGGTTTTCTTGAGACTATCTCTGACATGACTGTTCTGATCTACGAACAATGAATTACAATTATAACAGTAGTTGAGAACAGATACATTTTATTTAAAAAATCACAAGAATGTATAATATGGAAACAAATGATTTTCAGATGTCAATTTCTCCACAGTAAAACCTATAATATGTTGTGAAGAGCTCAACAGTAAGCAGGAACTCATTCAGGATTATGTCTTTCCACAGATGACCAGCTCCTAAGTTCTTGAATGTATCATGAACCACCAGGGAAATGAAGGAGGAAGAATGTATATTAAAAAATTCCACTAAAGGAAATCCTTGTTGATCACTCATCTATCAACCTATTCACCAGGTATGGTAAATATTGTTCCATAGTATAGTATTTTAAAGATACTTAGCTAAATCTAGTTCTTGCTCTCGTATTTGTTGGTACTGTTTTTGAAGAAACAGTTGTCCTATGTCTGAAGTTGTAAGAGCCTCATTTAAAAGATAGTATTATATTCTTAATAATAGAAATATAGAGAACTGGAATATTTGAACAGACTTGGGAGGATTCTACAGGAAGCATCAGATTGAAATCCAGTTATACCAAGGAGATGGAAGAGAAAGAGTTGGCTTTTGCTAAAGCAGAATGATATAAAGATCATTACAATGAGAAATGCAGAAATTTTTCCAGAATATTTTTTAATCAACATGAGTAATAGTCATGTTATGTCACTCTTCTCAAAGAGTTTTTTTTTCTTGCTACTTAATTGCAAGACAAGGCGAAACATTTAATTCAATTTCTGCTATACCGTTAAAAAGTAGTACACATCATTAACCAAATGACAGTTTCTTGGATGGGCTCATAGAGTAGGCCTATAATCAGGAATTTTATGTATATCCTTAAAAGAAAACTGCTGTCCTTGCGTATATGTCTTAGAGATTCTTGCCCATATGTGAATACATCATTTGTGACAGTGTCTGAGTACAGTCTGGTCTAATTTTCAGCACACAAAGAGGTCTGTGAGGG